TCCAGGTCTTTGCACATTTCATTACAATAATTGGCTTTGTCTGCTTGAGCTGCTCTTTGAAATGTTCTGTTGAGCTCTTCTATCTTGCCATTTTCCTCCATTTGCTTTAGCTATTTGCACTCAAGGGCAAGTTTCAGAGTATTTTCTGACATCCATTTTGGTCTTCTTTTCTCTTCTTTTAAATGACCTCTTGCTTACTTCATGGATGATGTTCTTGATGTCATCTCACAATTCCTCTGGTTTCTGGTTACTGGTGTTCAATGCATCAAATCTATTCTTTAGATGGTCTCTAAAATCAGGAGGGATATATTCAAGATCATATTTTGGCTCTTGTGGACTTGTTTTAATAGTCTTCAACTTCAAGTTGAATTTGCGTATGAGCAGTCGATGATTTGCTCCACAATCAGCTCCTGGCCTTGTTTTGGCTGAAGATATCGAGCTTTTCCATTGCCTCCTGCCACAGATGTAGTCTGTCTAATTCCTGTGTATTCCATCTGGGAAAGTCCACGTGTATAGCCGCCATTTCTGTTGTTGAAAAAAATGTATTTGCAATGAGTTAAGTCGTTGGTCTTGCAAAATTCTATCATGTAATCTCCAGCATTATTTCTGTCACAAAGGACAAATTTTCCAACTATCAGTGTATGGTGTAGTAAATTACTTAGTGTGGCTTTTCTACCCATAAGTCTTTGTAAACTCTAAGGTGTGATTTTCTATGAGCAACTGAGGAGCTCCTGATTGCTGAAGTTGTCCACCTGGAGTATTTCTGTTGGGTGTGGCACAAAACAATGTTCTGGGAGGTGCCCACTCTCTCTCAAGTGCTTAGAGTTCTGATGCTATGATTGGCTAGTTTGACCACCCTGTCGGGCTCAAAAGGAGGCTTCCTAGAGGCAGAACCCTCTCTGACTGCTGGTTGAGGAAAACGTGCTGCTGAAAGAGACATGCGCTCCAGAAAGAGACATGTGCTGCTGGGAAAGAGATGCAAGAGACACGCCTTGCTGAGTTAGACACCGAGGGACCAGTACTGCTGGGAAAGAGACTGTGAGAGACTGTTGGCCGAGGGACAGTGGGCTGGGAGAGAGGCTGAGCATTTTTCCTGAACTCGAATTGTAGCCTGTGGTGCTTCCCTAATACTAATAAACCCCATAATCTGTGAGCTCTGTGTGGCCACTGCAGCGAATTAGCAAACCCAGGAGAGAGGTGGTGGGTGCTTTGGGAGGAATGGTTGGAGAAAGGGCCGGAGGGAGGCAGCATGTCTGGCCTTGCAGTAATAGGCCTTGGGTTACTGCTGGTAATCCTGTCTTCCTCTTTAGGGTTAAAGGAGGTCAGAACATGTGGCCTCCTTGCCGTTTTTGCACAGTGATTCTTCTTTGTTTCCAATTTTTGCATTCCAGTCACCAGTGATAATTAACACGTCTTGATTGCATGTTCAGTCAATTTCAGACCACAGAAGTTGATAAAAATCTTCAATTTCTTCATCTTTGGCTTTGGTGGTTAGTACATAAATTTGAAAAGAGTTATATTAACTGGTCTTCCTTGTAGGCATATGGATATTATCCTATCACTGATAGCACTGCACTTCAGGACTTCAGATCTTGAAACATCCTTTGTGATGATGACTGTCATGGCATTTCTCTTTAAACTGTCATTCCTGGCATAGTAGATTGTATGTTTGTCTGATTAAAAATGGCTAAAACCCATCCATTTCAGCTCACTAATGCCTAGGATATCAATCTTTATGTGTTCCATCTCATTTTTTACAACTTCCAATTTTCCTAGATTCATACTTCATACATTTCATGTTCCTATTATTAATGGAAGTTTGCAGCTGTTTCTCCTCAATTTGAGTTGTGCCATGTCAGGAAATGGAGGTCTTGAAAGCTTTACCCTATCCATATCAGTAAGACTGGTCCTACTCTGATGACGCAACTCTTTCCTAGTCGTTATTTCAAAAGCCTTCTGACCTAAGAGGCTTGTCCTCCTGCACTGTACCAGACAATGTTTCTGGGCTATTAATAAAGTTGTGCAGTAATATATCAGACAATGCTTCTATTCATAAAGTCTTCCCTGGCCAATTCTTTGAGAAGTGGATGGCCTCTTCCTTCTTCCTAAGCTGCCTCAATCTGTAAACTGCATTGAAACCTGTGCACCATGTGCAACCCTACCAGCACTTGAAACATCACTGCTACAGCCTCAAGCCTCACAGCAACACTCAAGCTACAATAATACGACAAACTAACAGACAAGTTTGTCTCACTTAGCTGTTCAAAACCTCTCTGGCCTCCCCTTACCTGGATGCCTGGCTGCTGTTCTGCTCTGTCATCGCCTCTGCTTTCTCTTTCCCCTGCTCTTCTGTCTGGTGGGTGGGGCCTAGGTCCCTCCCTCCCCTTACCTGGATGCCTGGCTGCAGGACTAGGGAGAAAATATTAGCGATCTCAACATCACAATGGTTGGATTTTCTTTTTAATCTAAACAACATAAAATACATTTTCTCTAGGTGGCATTATGGGGGCTTTATTATAGTATCCTCTGTGCTAGTCTATAAATTAATTATTATTGTTTACAATTACATTACCGTTCATAATACACAAAAGGAGGCTGAAAAGAAACATGACAAAATGGTAAGAATATTCTTCTAACCCTTGGTAATAAGAACAAAACTTTTTCTTGCAGGGGGTGGTAGCAGATAGGACTGTATTTTTCCTTTTTCCGTAATAATCACACATTAATTTTAGACTTGGGGGGATAAAATCCTTTTTCAACAGGAAAAAAATATATGAAAGTGGTGATAAGACTCTGTAATTCTGGTTCACATAACTATCTAATGACAGGGTTTTGAAGGTGCTTACAAACACGACATCTGTACTCTTGTTTCTACGATAAAACATTCTCCAAGTTCTACATAGACAAAATACAAACTGATTTTGGAATTCCCAAAACTTTGCATAAAATATTTATGTACCAATGGAAAAAGCACAACTTGCTTCTTTAAAGAACATTCTAGTCCTTGAGAAAGGATAAAGAAAGGGTTCAAAATTCTACGAACTACTAATGCTTCAAACATAATCTAAAATTATGCAAAACTTCACAGGACACACAATAAGAAACAAATTTGATAAGCAATTCAGTATGTGTTTTTATCTTATTGCAATAAGACCGTGGAAAGCATTTAAAATTGGTATATAATGAAAAATTTATAAAACCTGTCATTATATTCCATTCCAACAGAAAGTAAAATTGTAAGTTTTATAATATGTAATAAATATTGGTCAAATAACTACTTTACCAAGTCTCAGTTTTCTTATCTGTATAATGAGTATCCTAGAATGCCCACCAAAGGGTTGTGGGAATCATATCCTAACTTCAATCAGGAAGAAATGTGCAGGGCTACTTTGCTAGAGGTTGCACAGAAAGAAGCCAGAATTCAGGCCAATGACCAGCCATAGCCGGTATTAGTGGTATAATTAAAATGAATATGGGAAGTTTCATTTGACCACCAACGGAAAAAAAGGAAATCATCTTAGAAGACAGCCATCACAATGTAATGAAATAACGTAAGAAAATAGAACCCTTTTCTAAAAAACAGGCACAACTTTAAATGCAGTAACACCTGCAAAAGCTAGAGCCTGTAAGATGAAAACCTGTCAGAGAAGTAAAACTAAAAAAATTCCCACTACACCCAGGGATCACCTTTTAGCCAAACAATAGAGAGGCCCATAAAGTGAACAAAGGCAAACTGTGAGGAGGTTGCTTATCAGAGCAATTAACAGAAGACCAAAAGGGCAGTATTGCCCAAAAACAAAGTATGAAAGGCAGGAAAGGGGAGGAAAGAAAGGCAAATAGAGACAGGGAACCTAGGGAGGAAGTGGGAAGGATGCTGTTACACTGAAGAGATTGCAACTAATGTCACAAAACCAAATGTGTATAAATTATTGAATGAGAAACTGTGGTCTGTAAACATTCAACCAAACCACAATAAAATGCTCGAAACAGTATGTAGGTAGGTAGGTAGGTAGGTAGGTAGGTAGGTAGGTGTGTATGTATGTATGTATGTATGTATGTATGAATGAAAACTTCTATCATGAAAAAAAATATTTCCACTAATAACAAGTGACAGAAAAGTAGTGAGAATGTACTCTGTCAAAGGCAGAAAACTCGAGAAACCAAGAAAAACAAGGCAGTACCATCAAAGTCTGGCTCTCAAAGATTTTACTATATTGAATCTAAATAACAGCATGGCAACAGAGAAGTAACATAGCAACAATTTCAAGAAGTGGTCATTTTCACTTAAAAAAAATGTAAAACATTTAGTCTGATCTAGACATAGGCAGTTCAACGATAGAATTCTCACCTTCCTTGCAGGAGACCAAGTTTTGATTCCCAGAGTCATCGTACCTTATGCGTAGCCACCACCTAGTCTGTCAGTGGTGATTTGCATATTACTGTGATGCTCAACAGGTTTCAGTGGAGCTTCTAGACTAAGGCAGACCAGGAAGAAAGACTGGAGATCTACTTTGAAAACTCAAACAATGAAAACCTTATGAATCACAAGCATTCAATCTGTAACCCACCATGAGATGGTACAGGACCAGGCAGAATTTTGTTCCACTGTGCATGGAGTTGCTATGAATTGAGAATCGATTCAAGAGCAGCTAACAATTACTACGTAAGTACACAGAGAATACAGGAAAAAAAAAAAAAAAAAAGCACAAAACTGAAAACATATATGTCATATTGGTGACTTATTTCCCAAAAATGTTCTTTGTTCTTTTTTTACTGTTTCAAACCTATCCATGGAATAATCATCTTGTCTGAATTCACAAACACAAGAGGTGACTTAGGAATAAGACAATACAGTTAGTCAACTAGCCAAGCCAAATAAACCTATCAGTCACCAAGGCTAAGAGCTAAAAAACCTCTAGGTCTATAATGTTGCTATATTGTCTTCACAATGACACAAGTAGCAGAAAGGAAAATTACTCCAAATTTCAAAAGCATCTTACCAGAGTGATGTCCCGGGAAGCTGCAGCTGCACTCATATGCAAACTGGGCTGCCTCACAGAACTGCTGCAATCAAGGGCTCGAGCAAATGTCCCCACAGCACTAAATGAACCACAAAAACAATGGAAAAATTAAGCCTCTGTTACGTTTTTATGTTTAAAGAAAAAAAAAAAACCGTATTTGGCTACAGAATGAAACTTTCGTAAAAGAAAAGTCAAAGCAAGCTCTTGGGATGCTTGATAATCAAACATCACGTTAATTAAAAATATTTTCTGTAAGATTTAATAATTGACAAAGAGCTCGGTAGCATAGTGCCTAAGGTACTTGACTGCGAACCAGAGGGCTGGAGGTTCAAACCCACCAGCCACTGCTCGGAAGGAAGGTTGGGCAAGAGTAATGAAACTGCCTTGGAAACCCAAGGAGGGGGTCGCTATGAGTGGAGTCCGACTCCACAGCACATAACAAAAACAACAATACAAGCCAACTCAACATATACAGATCATTATAATGGAATTTTAAAAAGCAGACTATTTGGTCATAAAGATGGAAGGGAAGCTGTATTATAAAACTTCACGTAGTAAATTTGGTATTCACCTTTGCTTAGAAAATGAAAAAGTGAATCAGCTGCAGAGTTTGACTATTCTTGCAATGTAAGTTCTGACTACTTTTTCAGCCCTAATTATAAAATCCCAGAAATAGTTTTTCCTCAAAATGAGGTACCATTAACTCTAACAACCCCTTCCTATAAGGACTCAACATATAATGGATTTCTACTAAAATCCCATTAAAAATAAAGCAATTACCATGAGACTAATTGTAACTTAATAATTTAGAAAGTCTTCCTACACATAAAGAAACCTCAGGACATGAAACATAAAATGAAGGAAAGACTCAATGCCTGGTGCATGCATTTTACACGTTAGCTGAGGGAGAGATTTTCTAAACATTTTAATCAAAACATAACATGAGAAATCTGCGTAAGACACAGCTATTTAATTATCACCAAATGAATGCACCAATCTCATCACCATCCAGGTAGAAACAGAATGGGAGCAGCATTCCAGAAGACTCCTCAGGTTCCCTCCCAATCACTACTTCGCCCATGCTCCCCAAAGGGAATCACCATCCTGGATTCTAACATGGTAGGCTGGCTTTACTCATTTTGAACTTTACACAATGATATTCACGCAATATGTACTCATTTCATTGATGGCATCTTTTGTTCAATATTATGCTCCCAAGTTTCATCCATGCTGTTGGCTGTAGCTGTGTTCATTCATTTACCTTGCCATATAGCATTCCTGTGTATGAAACCCAATCCCTCACACTCCACGTACTCTGTTGCTTGCTTACTTAATCACTCTAACTACACTGTTGCTGAAGGACAGTTGAGTTATTTCCAGTTTGGGGCTCCATGAATACTGCCACTAGTCTCATTTCTATACATAACTTATGGTGCATAGGCACATATGTATTTCTGCTAGGCATATATTTAGAAGTGAAATTTAAGGGATGTGTGTGTTAGATGACAGCAAACAAGTTTTCCAAAGCAGATGTTACCCATTTACACTCTCACTAGCAGGGTGAGACAGAAAGGTTGCTTGATTTCTTCACCAATGCTTGACACTGTCAGTATTTTAAACTTTAACAAACATTGTGATGGCTGTACAGTGGTATTTAATGGTAGTCTTAATTTGCCATCTGAAAGACACTAGGTGCACCTCCTAGTTGTCTTTAATGCTAACTTCAAAGAAAAAGAAAAATATGGCCCATGGCAACAAAGAAAAAGAAAAAACAAAACAGACCAAATTTGAAAAATGTAACATTTACTAAATAATCCAAAATTCAGGTAACCTGTCTGGAACCTCTAAGACTATGGCTCCATCAACATATTCATTTGTAATCTGACTCATCTATCTCTCCTACTCTGCTGACAGGCTCTTTCCCAAAAATGTATGTCAAGTTTCTTTATCCAAATACCCAGCCACCAATATGCTGCGTGACTTCCATGGTGACTGACTGCATAAATAGTGCTGGTCTATTATATTATGAAAAAAGTTCAACAGAAAATCATACAGAATATGAAGACCCTCGTATCCACCATCCAGATTTAACAGATTCTAGTATTTTACCATGTTAAACACTCAAAACTCACTGTCAGTTAATTCAGACTCAGAGCAATCCTACAGGACAGAATAAAATTGCCCCATAGGGTTTCCAAGGCAGTAATCTTTATGGAAGCAGATTGCCACATCTTTCTGCTACACAGAGGCTGGTGAGTTAGAACTGCTGACTTTTTGGTGGCAACCAAGCACTTTCATCATTGTGCCACCAGGGCTCCTTTTGTCATGTTATGTTTGTATTTTTAAAGGAATAAAGTATTACAAATTTGGTTAGAGCTCCCACACATATTCCCAGATCACATTCCTCTCCCCCTCTACACAGATATAACCACTTTCTTGAACCTGATTTTCATTTTTTCAAGTTTTTATACTATTAATTACTACATGTAATACATACATGTACATGTATTCATTAATAAAAGTTTCACACATTGTAAAAATTTCCATAAATGACTGTATTCTATGTAGCACCCTCACTCAACATTACTTAAGATTTATCTCTTTGCTACACATAGCTCTAATTCATTCATCTTAAATGTTGTAAATAGTTCATTACATGAAAATTTCACAACTCATTTATCAATTGCTTGCTTATGTACTTCAAAGTTTTCCCCAATTTTTCCACTATTACAATGCTATAATAATCTCTTACTTTCTATTATGTGGCAGTTTTGCATATGAGCATCATTCACTTTTTTTAAATTAAAATAATTTTGTCTTTGGTGAAAGTTTATCAAAAAAATTAGGTTTCCATTTAACAATTTCTACAGTTTGATCATGACACCCTCATGGTATGTCAATTCTTGTTCTGTTCTGGCTGTTCTGTTTCCAATAATCCACTTTCCCTGCCTCCTTGCCTTCTCATCTTTGCTTCTGAGTAAATGTTGATCATTTGGTCTCATGTAGATGAATTTTTAAAGGAGCAGAGTACTCAGATAATATTGTTTATTTTAAAAGTCAATCTGTTATTTAGCTAAAAGATGACCTCAACAAATAGCTTTAATTAAAGTTTTAAAGAGTATCTCTGAGAAATAGTCTTGGGGAATCTCTACTCTCAACTGGTGCAGTAAGTCTGAACTTTGTAAGAATTTGAGTTCTGTTTCATATTTTGTTCCCATTCTATCAGGATCCATCTATGGTGCACATAATCAGAACTATTAGTAACGATAACTAGGTATCATTTAGTTCTTCTGGAGTAAGAGTAGATGAGGAAGTAGTTCATATTACTGTTACCCCTATGAACCAGTTTCTTCTCTGAATGTTTGGTTTCCTACTTTCTCTTTCACTCCAGATGTGCAGAGACCAATAGTTGTACATTAGATAGCTGCTTTCAAGCTTTTAAGACTCCAGACACTACTCATCAAGCCAGAACGCAGAACATAAACTTTACATACTACATTCTGCCAACTGAGTGAGTTGTCCCACAAGACTATGATCTTAACCCTTTAGACCCCGAAAAACAATTCCAGGAGATGTTTAGTTAAGTCTTAAAAAATACCCGTTTCTATCAAATTAGAAAGCAACAAAAGGAAGATCAACAGAGAAAGAGCAAACACATGGAAACTGAACAATATCCCCTTAAGAAAGACTGGATAAGAGAAGAAATAATTCAAAAATACCTTGAATCAGGAGACTTCTGGTAAGACGGAGGAATAAGCAGACAAGCTACACAGACCATGTTCAACAAAGAAAAGATAAACCAATTGAGAAAGACACAGAACATAATCCTGGAACCCTAAGCTTTAAAAGGAACTACAGAAGTGGATTAGGCACCAACTAGTGGAAAAACCTGAATGAAAACAGTGAGTACGAAGACAGTCGGAGCAATGCTGTCAGCTACTCTGACAGGACCAACAGCCTGAATATTTCCAAAGGGTGTTGGGAAGTGAGAATTGACCTAAAGATCAGTGCTGGTTGCCTAGGGCTGCAGGGACGACTGCACTGGTGGCCTAAGACTGGGAAGGGAAACAGCAAGGAGGGAGACAACCTAAGCTGTAGACTTTCTGCTGTCTGGAGGGTATAGTCATTTGATTGTTTACAAGCGGCAGCCATTTTGGATATTTAAAGTGACGGAGGAGGTGGCCATTTTGAATGTTTATAAGCAGCGGCCATATTGGATATTCAAAATGACCGAGGCGCAGCCATTCTAAATCTTTACGAGTAACAACCATTTTGGATTTTAAAGTGACAGCATTATCATTCAGATTCCAAGGACCTAAGAATAGGCTCTGTTTGCCAAGCACAGCAGGGACATACAGAAGGCTGACAATGGGAAAAGAGACAGGTGGTGAGTGTTTAAGTGCTGCCAATTAGCAAACAGAGTAGCACAGGACAGTACCCTGCTTACACAGATAACATGCAAACAAAACAAAGAAAATGAAAACCCTGGGCAAGACATTCCAACATGCAATCACCAATTAAATACAAACACAAAAACATCACAATGCCTTGGAGACAACAGAACATCACAGTGCACACAAAGAAGCAAGATAAAGCAGAAGAAACAAGGGACCAAGATACAGACCCAAAATACATCCCTGAGAAAGATGCAGCAGTGAAACTCACTGATAAGGAATTCAAAAGAATTATATTTAGGTATATTCAATGAATTGAGAGACAGATCAAGGAAAACACTAACAAAACTGAAGAAAACACAGAGAAAATTCTTGGAAAATTTTGAAAGACAATACAAGAACAAAATGACAAAATAAATGAAAAATTATAAATGACACAAAATCTACACACAGAAATCCAGAAAATTAATACAGATAAGACCTTGAATGGGCAAAGGAGCAGAACTGAATCAACAGAAGACAGAATCAAGGAGATTAAAGGCAAATACCTCTGTACTTCTTCAGAAAGGGATCAATCAGAAAAAAGATCAAAACAAAATGAAGAAAGCCTAAGGTTCATGTGGGATACCATCAAAAGAAATAACAAACATGTAATTGGAATTCCAGAACAGAAAGAGACAAAACC